TTTTTTTTTTTCGCTTACCGTCACCTTCAACTGTTGTTTTGTTTATTAATACTTCTACACATCTACACATTTAAGAAAGAAGAAAAATTATGTTTTTACAGTTCGAAGCAATAGTTGTTTCCCTTTTTTTTCTGATTAAGATCAACAAAAGTTTTCTTGAAAAAGACATTATAAAGTTTTCATTGTTAAACTTATCTAACTTGTAGAAACATTCCAAACAATGAAAACAGGTTAAATGCCCCGAAATAAAAATTAATTGAAAAGCGATGTCCACTTTCAGCATTTCGATAAGGATACCATAAATTGTATAATTTATTTATGTTTTTATTGAAGGCAATGTCTCCAATAAACATATTTGGTGCAAAAGAGTTGTTGAAAAATTGAATTTACAAAAAATACCTTCATGGTTAAAGACTGTTTAGTTTTGTCAGCAACTTCCAAACGTTCCTCCATCATTCGTTCCTGATTTTCCCTCTTTTTGTCCTTATAATCCTCATAGCAACAGTCACTGATGAGATCAGGCATAATGCCGAAAAATGCAAGCTCTTCATCATAAGCAACCAGGCATTCATTTCTTGGATACTGCAAAACGACAGCAAAAATTCATCGTAAACTGTTCTGCTAACAGAATTTATTTGTACTGTTTCAACAGCAGATTCAAACAACAACAAAAAGTATCTTCTCATCAACACCTCAGCTTCAGCCGTTGTTTCTTCTATTAATCTACTTGCAGGCATTGTTTTAGCACCAATATATTTATTCCAAAATATTCGACACGTATTTCTTTATCACCAAAAATTATCAGCCCGTCAAAAAAAAAACAAGGTATCAAATTTTTCTGTTCCTCTCTCTGTCTTGATTATTTTCTTTTTTTTTTTTTCTTGGTCAATATATGACAATATTTTGTATGCCAATCGATCAAAATGCTTGTTTACTTTTCCTTTTACATTCCACAAATAGCATTTGCCACTACAACCAATGATGACTTGAAAAAAAATTACAGTTTTTTCTTCATTATTTCACTTTTTTTTTTTTTTTGGTTTTTTGGTATGGGAAAAAAAACATTTTTTACTTAACTAAACTTTTCCCACCCAATTTTGCTGCTAAAAAAATTAAGCTATTTTACGGTCCATTAAACTCGCTGAAATATTTTTTAATCGAGTTTAATGCATCAAAAAAATCCTTGTAGAAAAAAAAGATTTCTTTTAGGTTTCAATTTGCAAATGCTTAAACAGCATCGCAAAAAAAAACAGAAAAGATTCCGCAATATTGATTGTTCGCTTTTTTTTGCTATCTTTTTTTTTTTTTTAAAATTGAAAAAAAACTTTTGAAAAGATGAATTTTGAATGCACAATTTTTTCAGTTTTTGTTCTCTGCTTTGCCTCATCTTTCTCCTCCTTTTTTTTAAAAGAAAAAAATAATTTGCACTAAAAAAATCTTCTCGTACTCAGAAATACCTAATTTTATTGGATTTGACTTGTTTTCTGCTCTTTCATGCCTAAAAATAATGGAAAAAAAAAAAAAAGAAGATGAACAATAAAATGTTTGGAAAAACTTTTTTGTTTTAATAATCTTATGAGGTTCATGGCGCACAATTAGTCTACGAGCAACTCTCCCTCATCTTTTTAAGCAAAACTAATAATCAGCCAAAAATAAAAGCAAACTGTTGGAAATTATTCTGTCTTTATGAGAAATATGATTTTGGATAAGCAGTAAAATATAACGTATAAGGATACTTAAAACTAGTAAGCTGCCGTACCCAAAAAACCCAATTGGTTGGTTGCCTTAAATATCGCTGCCGTTCTGTTCGTCTTACAATAAACAGCTATCTCAGTTCAATACTCAGAATGCACAAATTCAACAGCCACTTATTTTCTTGCAGTTTGAATATCTTCGTTCACTTTATAAAGTGTTCAAAATAAGAATGAGTGCCGAAGAAAAAAAAAAACCATTAAAAATCAAAAAAAAATAGGATGAGAGGAAAAAGTGAGAAATTACAACTTGCTTGCTTACATGAAGTTTGCCAGTCCTGTAAAAAGTCAAAATATGCCGAAATATGTCGGGATCACGATCAAAAAAATACTCATTGGTTTCTTCGTCCAAAAAAAACTCCTTTTCACTAGATCCAAGCAAGGTTTCTGGATATTTTTCCAAGGTATTTTTCCAAGTTTCAAATCGTCGTCCAGATATATTAATTAGAAGTTTTTCATCGGATACATGATCAATTGCCAAATTTTTTGCCTTAAAGAATAACAACCAAAAAGAACAGAAAAAAAAACTAATAACAAAAAAACAGAAAAAAACGAAAAAAAAAAAGAAACGAAAAAAAAATTTGATAATAGGAAAGATGCAATGATGAATGTAATTAAAGTGTCAACGTCAGAAAGTCAAAAGTGCATGTGCTAATTTTAGAATATCTGTCTATTACTACTGCAACATTTCTTTTCAGCTTTATCCCTCCTCAAAATGCTATCATCGCTGTCGCCCTCAGTGTCTTCAAAAACTTCTCCTTAAAGCTTCACTGCCACTCTGTGCATGTCAATTTTGAACCTCATCGACATTAAACATTCAACTTGTCCTCACTCATTGCTCAAATGGATTATATATATACGTAC